CGGCCCGGTCGACCGGCCAGTAGTACCGGTCCGGTTCCGGTTGGGGGAGGACCCCCCGGTCCTACCGGGTTTCCAGCACTGGTTGAAGCAGCGAGCAAGACCTTGACATTGAAAAAGCCACTTCCCTGTTTAAAAGCTGTGGTGGCACAGGGACATGCAGTGAAGAATCCAGCAGAGGAGTGGGGAAAATAACTGAATCAAACAAATGAAACTAGATGGCAGAGAAGCTGAAAGGTCATCATATGCCCAAAAGGAGGAGGAAGTGGGAAGAAGGGGATTTTACCAGATGCCTCAAAACTCGAAGAGTCACTGCCCCCTGCCTCGAACGCTTTGACAGAGGAGACTCGGCGGAGGAGGAGGTGAAAGCTCGTCATGGGCCCAAAGAGGAGGGGGTAGACGGAAGACCCGGACTTACCAAGTGCCATGACAAACTGACACAGCCGCTCCCTGCCTCAAAAGATTTGACAAATGAGAAGAGATGGAGGCGGCGGAGGACGGTCGTCATAGGCCCAAACAGCAGGGCGGAGAGGAAACAAGTGGACAAAGTGCCCAGTCTCACAAGCTTCGTTGGTGCAGGAGCAGGGAAAAGAAGACAGCAGAGGACGGGAGACAAACGGAAGCAAATGGAGGAGAGTAAAATAGAGGGGAGGAGGCAAATGGAGGAGAACACGGAGGGGAGTAGGGGGTGAAAGGTCGTCGTAGGCCCAAAGAGGAGCATCATGAAGAGGAAGGATGTGGCCCTTTACCAAATGCTGGGTGCTCCCCTGGCCGTCCAATCGTGAGATCTTCATTCAGAGCAAGCCGTATTTCTGGATTGTTTGTGAGGTAACTCTTCATTTGGATGGTTCCATCAATCTCTGATGTCAAAAGATAGCCCTGTGACAACCATAAGGGTAACGATCCACAAACAGCAATCCAATTTTCAGTCTTGAATCTTGATTGATACACTTCATGCTGCTCCCATAGGTTTGAACTTCAACCTTTAAACTTTGAACTTTGAAATGTAGGGTAACGAACCACAAACAGCAATCCAATATTTCTGGATTGTTTGTGAGGTAACTCTTCATTTGGATGGTTCCATCAATCTCTGATGTCAAAAGATAGCCCTGTGACAACCATAAGCGTAACGATCCACAAACAGCAATCCAATTTTCAGTCTTGAATCTTGATTGATACACTTCATGCTGCTCCCATAGGTTTGAACTTTGAACTTTGAACTTCAACCTTTAAACTTTGGACTTTGAAATGTAGGGTATCCAACAACGGCCACAGCTGGTGGAACCGTGTTTGCCTTTGCCCGTTTGTGGCTTGTACTGGCCACGCTAAAAGGGGCCTTTACCCGATTCAGACCCTGACTGTCGAATGCAGCATAGTGGGGTCACTCGGCCAGGGCCCAACTCGTGAAAAGCAGATCAAAAGGCATGTTCTCTGGGTCAAAGTCACATCCTAACTAAAGCAAAAGTCATGTCAAAGGTCACGGTTGTGCCCCTGGACGAACAGTTGCAGTATTCAATTGTGGGAGACACATCTGTTCATCCAGAGGGTGTGCAAGTCATGTCTGTTCAAGCAGGAGATGTGTCTGTTCTTGAACTCGACACAAGATACTCTTTATAATGTTGTTGTGGTAATATAAGCTGCGCTACCTTGGTTCTCATCGCATCTTGACTTTGCTTTGTGTGAAGCTTCATAATCTGTGTGAATGATATCTTGGCATGCAATGTGATACACTCTGGCAAGTTGTGGACAGTCAGGTCCCTTGCAACGCAAACCAATCTCCTACATGGGGCGGGTGTTTACAGAGACGCCAAGATTTGCCGAGTCTTTATTTGTACAAAGACCACCATCCGAGCCTGACCAGGCTCAAACGTCACTCCTAAAGGAGAGGGGGGGGGGGGGGGGGGGGGGGGRGGGACMCCGACTTAGATTGAAATTATGCATTCAGTTTGGCTCAAATATTTTTTTTAATTTTTCCACAAGAGGTTAACGGGGCATCTGGTTTTCAGGCGTGAAATTTCTGAAATTAGGGTTTTGAGCTCAAATTTCATGTTTTTTTAGAATTTCAAGTTTTTGCTATATATGCATTTTGATAGGGTTGCCGTATATGAAATTTGGGGTTATTTGGAGTTTTAGAATTTGCGCGATTAAGATTTCTGAAATTTCTGAAATTGGTCGAGTTTTTTTTGGGCCAAATTTGGGGCCAAACCATTTTTGTTCGTTCTGAAATTTTGTGCGCCGACGCGCGGTAACCTGAGCAATATCCCCAATCTTTTCACGATTTTTTCGTTGCCCGAAATAAGAATTTAAAATCTCCAAAGTCACAGTACTTGGAATTTTGCACACACCCCTGGTACCCCCTTGGTTCCAGAAGGCCAAAGCAGAATTCTCTTACCGTGTTTACCGATAAGAGGCCGATTTAGCTTCAGCTGAGCAGGGTGGTACTTCGAAAAAGAAAGAATGTCCAATACAATATTTTACAGAAAAGATGAGAAAACTGAGAAGACAAAAGTTGACAGGAGGTCGGCTATATCAGAAATAAGCTCCCCCAATTTCCCAAGAGGATAAATCGCATTAAACCCCTCGTATCCTGTTTCAGAAACAAGAAGCACACACAGACTGGCGTGACTGCAAACATTGGACAGCAGTGGGCATGAACACTCACTCTCTTTTTTTTCACTCTTGTAAGGGTATAGAAATGCTTCACTACCGAATATAGCTCCTTGCTCCACTGCCCAATGTTCTAAATGTATCTGACGCAGGCTGTAACGAGCGTGAGGCTGAGGGTGAGCCGAGGGAGAGGAGAGAGAGGGGGAGAGTGAGAGCACACACACACACTCACTGACTCGACACGACGGACTCGGACTGAGGATCGGACGCAGACACAGTGGCAAGGCACAAAGTCGAAGTCTTGGATTCCCGAATGCCGAAAACAGCAAGTCACACTGAGCACGAGTACAGCAGCAGAGAACTGGTACGAGACTGCCCCCCCGTACCGTACGGGGAGCCGGTATAAGTACCGGTGACACGTACGGTACTAGGGGCATTTCTGCAAAGGCCCCGAGGGCAGAACTGAAAAATGCAGTATTTGAAAAGTGGCGCCCGAATTGCAGCATGGCGCCAGTTTGTCCAAAATCCTACGGTACCAAAGGAGGGGTTTGGAAAAAGGGTGCCAGGCCGAAAACGGGATGCAGCTGAAACAGCAAAAAGATAGACCAGGGATCGAGCCCTGGCGAAGTCCGTAACACAGGCGATTCCCTATACATTCAAATGCTGGATCACTCTGGATCATACTTGCGACGCATCGCGATGCGCTCTACTGCGCACGTGCGCCGCACCGCGCTTCCCGCACGACGCGCGCGCACTGCATGCGGCGCACCTCCAAAAATGGGGGTCAAAAAAAAAAAAAAAAAGTTGTGAGGGGCGGTAGTAGACCCGGCCCCCTGCTCGCGTAAAATGAGAAACGACCATTCAAATTTTTTTTGGAGGCCGCGCATTGGCCTGAAAGATTTTAGTAACTTGTAGTCCGGGTAACACTCTGTGTGACACTGTATGGTAGGGTTATTGCCATCTGTATGGTAGGGTTCTTGCAGGCCAGATTCAGTCATGATGAGGGTCACGATCTCTCAAAATGATCTCTTCTTATTACTTCTGTAGTAGAAAACGACGGAACTGACAGCCGTTTTTCCTGGAATTTTTTTTTAGAATTTCTTTGCACGAGTGAAGCCCGGCGCGTCCAACCTGTCAGAACCTCAACGGTAATGTTCACCAACGGGCTCGCTGCACAACTCTTGACATGCACAACAAGACATAGGGTTCACCAACAGGCTCGCTGCACAACTCTCGACATGCACAACAAGACATAGGGCCTCGCTGCACTACTCTCAACATGCACAAAAGACAAAAATATTGGCGGTGTATCTTTCCATATTCTAGCGCAAGATTCACTCTCGTTTTGCAGATTTCCAGAGTAGTGCAGTGAGGCCCATATATGGCACTGTATCTTTCCATGTTCAAGCGGAGGATTCAGTCTCATTTGTTCAGAGATTCTCCGGAAAAAAAAAAAAGTTTCCAGAGATACGTTACGTGCTTACCGGATTCATCGGCCCTTCGTTCTCCACCACCCAACGTATGAATGAATCTTCCGCCAGAACATGGAAAGATACACC